GGTTCAGAAATAGATATGAGGTGTATAAAAAATTTATCTGGGAAAAGGAGAGACACCTCGAAATACTTTTGTATTTAAGAAACAGGTAAAAATATCACATATGTGACACAGCAAGGTGAACTCCTTATCTTCTTGCTGTATGAATATGTTTATGCTTGTAAATAATGTTACTGCATTTCAATGCTGTTACTGCTAATCCCTGGTAACTTCTGAATAATTTGTAACAATTCCTGAAATGTCTTCTGCGTACAGGAAGCTTAGAATTAATGAAGCTTAGAATTAATTTTTGATAGTCAATTGTGGGGAAGTCAGTTGGCTGAACAGCCACATAATGGGACACCAGTGTGTTTAATGTCAGCATAGAACTAAATATCCTGGTCAATTTTCTACAGTCTAGTTTTTCATGCCGTACATCTTCAGTAGTAGAAGTACCACTAGACCTAATCTGTTCGGTTAAAGAAAAACTTTGAAACGATTTTTTCACTTCACTGGTTCATTGGTAATACAGAAACTATGAGGCTTTAACAGAAACGATGCCATAATCAAACACTGTTACTGTTTTTCTTAGGATTAGGGACATCTTAAAGAACTAGATACTGAAATTGAATAAATTTAATGAAATACCATATTCTTGATGATTATTGGTTGTGTTCAAACTACTATTTGTTTGATTGCTCAGAAAAAGCAGAGAGAACTTGCCAAGATGAGAAGGTGTCTAAGACCAGAGGAGCTGACGAATCAGTTGAACCAAATAGACCTAAACATGCAACATGAACAGTTAGAAGAGAGCTTCCAACAACTTGTTTCAGATTACCGAAGAGTCCTGGAACGACTTGCACAAGCATGAGGATCCTGCCTGTACAGGAAACTTGCAAATTTCTATACAGTGTTGTAAAGCACATCCTTAATTGCCACTTAACTGCAAAAAAAACTCATGTGACGTTTTAATCACATTAAAGGTGACTTGTGTTTCTGTGCATTTTGAATATTTTCTATTTTTGTGTTGTAGATTTTTAAATGTTGTACTTTAGGTTTGGGGGCACTTATTGCTGAAATAAACAATGTAGATTCTCAGATACAGTATCACTTCAATTGTATGAATTTTCTTTTACCAGTCTGTTTTGCCTCAAGACTTTAATAGATACCTGAATAGCAAGTTAATACATAAATCTAAGCAATATAAATATTGCATCTCTCTTAAATTTCTCCTAACTTGATCCTCCTCAGGCTGTTCTACTTGGATCCTATTGTACTGTGTAGGGCCTGTGCACTCTTTGGTTTAATGTCTCGTGGGCTGGCTGGCTTGCTTCCTGAGTACAGGCTCTTTACCCGTTCTTCAAAGTGGATGCTGCTCCCATAAGCTATCAGACCCATTCTACTTAAGCCTCTAAAGGGCCTTGAGCATATTCTTTTTCAACCCCCCCAAGTTTGCAGGTTCATGATTTCGGGAAAATACCTCACAGCTGGGGAAACAGCCAAGACTTTGTAAGGACTCCAAAAGCACTTCTACTTCAGCTAGTGTAAGAAACATACAAATCTGTAAGAAGCAAGTGCCTTCATATAGTTCCTTGACTCTATTCTGCTATCCATTGCTTCTCAGGCTTGAGGCCCTCCTGTCTCTCCTCCCTCAAAGGAATAAATTACAGTATCTTTTCTTGTAGTTGAGACTTTAGGACTGATTCATCTTGGCCTGTAATCAGGAGGATCATTGACATTTATTAACCATGTTTTGTGGTAAAAATGGGATTCAGGTCCAGCTTTCAAAACCGGAGTTTGTAGATTGACAGTTCTCTACTACCATCTGATATGACATCGAGAAAAAAGTAATGTTTTCCAAATGTTTAAATCCTCCTGTATATTTTTTTTCCTATTAAATTCTTTTTAGACACTTTAATTCTTCTGGCTAGGATATCTTGTCTGTATGATTTTTGTTGTTCATCTACTAGAGTATCCAAATCTCATATTCCTTAATAATAACAATTTTAGAACGATCTCTCCTGGTGGTAGTAGTAAGCCTGAAGGTAAGTTGTGGGATCTGGGGGGCTGGGGTGTGTTTTTCTGTTTGGTTGGTTTTGGTTTCTTATTGAACATGTTCAGGTGTTGGTGATAAGCCAGAAATGGGAAAGCTGAAATGAAGAACTGTGCTTTAATTTGGTTTCTGCATAGAGGTCCAGGATACTTGTTGTGCTTCTGGGGAAGTCCACAATAACACTGCCTGAGCTTTTGCATTACTAAGGCTGAAGCCACTCACAAAGAAGTTCAAGCCTTTTAAGAAACTGTAGGACTAACAGGAAAAAACGCTGCCTGATGGGCCGTTTGCCCACTTAGAGAGGTTGAACGTGGTTTCCCTCTTCATAAGTTACTTTTCTTGGGGTGGGGGGGAGCATAAAAAGGCAGAAGGCTGGCATGCCTGTTCCTTTCATCCTTCTAGTATCTGATGTGGGAAGGGAAAGGAGATTTCTCTGCTGTCACCCCCAGGCTATATGGATGTCCCAAAAGGGCTGAGCAATGCCATGAAACGTAGGCTTGACGCTAGAGGTAGTGAAGGTTGCCATATTCAATTGATGGTGCGGGATGGATGTGAAAGGAACTACTGAGCCAAAAGGACAAATTGCTTTCCTTAGGCAAATAGTGAAACTTCTCTCACACAGTGATTAGGGCGGATGCATCTTTTCATAACATATTGGAATTTTTTTTTTTTCCTTTTTATGTTGACACTGTTCAAAGAGGTGGGCTGGTACCTCCAGTTCCCTTAGTGGTGAAGGTGCAGTCTTGGGCTGAGTGTGGTTTCTCATTACAGTACAGGCTGGGAATGTTCTAAGCTGTTGGGATGTGCCCGTGGGCAGCAAAACTTATGACCTGGTTTACAGGAACTGTCTTGTTACTAATTCTTGGCACCAAAGATATGAATAAATAGCCTCTTAGAGAGCTAGGAACTTTGAATCCTGCCGTCCTGCAGCAGATTACAGCTTCTGCAGCACTGCTGCCAGGAAAGACCGTGTGAGCGCTCCCTAATCCATTACAGTTAATTAAGCCAATTATCTGAAACAACCTTCATCAGCAAATTAAACTAGCCCTGCTGACTTTGCCTGAAGTGGTCTGAGAAGTGTCTGGACTATCCTTTCCCTTGGCAGAGAGAAAGAGGCAATAATCTCTTCTATGACAGCTAGAGAACAGTGACAGTTCCACTGATGCTACTGCTTGGGGAGCATATGCCAGTTTAGTTCGGCAGGCTTTTGGGGTGAGTCTGTTCAAACTAACATTTTAGAGACTGAGCATTAATGGTAAAGCTGACTAAACACTCAGTTTTCAGTGGATGCTACTAGATAAACTCCTAGCTTTCTGGCTTGCCACTCTGGATATTTTGTTCCATGGTTTTCAACAGGGTAACACGTTTCACCTGCAAGTGAGCTGCAGGATTCTTGTCTCTGAAGTACTCACAGCAGCAACTCCAGCTATTCGGCGAGTCATATTTATGAAATAAAGTAGGTTAATACCGTTTACAAAAGTTTAATAAGTTTTGTGTAACTCCTGTTTATATTTCTGTGTTAACATAATTACGACCAGGGACCTCCTACTATACTTAAACAAATACTTACCAGCATAGAATAGAAAATAGCATAGCTATCACTAGTATTGTCTGACTTCTGCATGCTGAGAGAGGACCTGTGAAGTAATAACAGCTGTCTATATAGGATTGTGGTTAGATACTAGGGGGATCCCGTTTTGCGGCTTTGTGAGCTGACAAATGAACACTGAGGCTTAGTAGCAACTTTTCAGCTCTAGATGTTAGGAGCGTAGGAATTGGATAGCTGAAGCTGAATGCTATTAGAGCCCTCTCCTATTCTGGGCACAATATGACACTAAAGTAGTCCTGGATAAAAATTATTTTTGTTCAAACATATGATCTGTTATCCTAGGTTTCTTATCTTTAGTTGCTGTTGTTCTTCTGAGTTATTGCATACTAACAAGAACTTAGAGTAAACACTAATAATAGGTTTATGTGATTTAATTTATGACATTTTTATGCATTTTGATTAAATACAGATTCTTCAGTCACTTCACTCAAACATCAAGTGAACCTTTGCACACCATACTAATACAGCATTTGAAAGAGTTTTGTGTATTTGAATATTCTTTTCAGAATGTATATAAGATCTGTAAGTCTATTTAAAGTTTTTAATTGTAGATGCTGCTGGCGTGAGGCTGCTGGTTTGCCCTTCCATCACTTACAAATCCAGTCATGGCAACAGTGAATCTACTTTAAGAAAATTCAGTGGAGTATCTAAAATGGTGAATTTAGTTCAACTGGTAGAGACAAATTTTCTTTCTATGCAAAGCTATTGTCAATGGTGCTAATCCAAGATTTTATCCTAAGAGGTAAATCAAGCTCTGAAAAATGTTTATGTTTAGAAACCTGGGTCAAACTGTTCCCTTTGATGTATTTTGAAACATAAAAGTTACCTACTGCAGATACTAGGAAACAACTAGGTCAACAACTAATAACCTGAAGAAATACAACAGAAAACCTACAGTTTCAGAACTGAGAGAGCAAGCTACCTGAAGCTGCAGGATTTGAAGGACACTTTAACTGCTGTAGTAGGGGGAATAAAGGTCTATGTAGCTGAAGCAGTATCTTGGGCAGTAAATGTCTGTGCCTCCTATAAGCAAACACACAAAGCTGCTATGTGGCAGTTTAGGCAATTCAAGACTGACCCATTGTCTCTCTCTGCGATGTCAGCAGGAGGGTAAGCAGCCCATAATGTCTATACGAAGGATTTACGTCTGCTTATATAGATCATTTTTTCAATTCCTTTTTGTCCCTCACTGAGACTTTGTTGCTCTTTATGCTTTTCCTTTATCATATTGTATGACTGTCAGACACAAGAAGGCTTGAAACTCTTACGTATGTTGCATATTTTGCCATTTTACCTTTTCTCCCAGTGTCAGTTCTGACCCGATTTCATCAGTATCAAACTGTTAGAACTAGAAATACCTGTTATATTCGTAAGCCTATCACCTAAAATCTTGGAATCTCAGCTTTCAAATTGAAAAATATTATTCTCTAATGTGAAACATTGCTTGCTAGGATAATTTGGACTGGAAGTTCACAAAAAGACAGCATTGTAAAATATTGAAATCTGTATCTCATAAGCAAGTATCTGTTGCAGAAATTTCAGTTTTCTCAAAAAAATCAATTTAAAGTCATGGGGAACATTTTTTCCCCATGCCATCAGTATTTCCAGCCATTCTACACTGCTAGTTCTTTCTCCAGTAATCAGAAAGATTTCAGTCGAACTCCAAGTTCTATCTATTAAAATGTTTCATTTACAAAAGGCTATTAACCACACCAGTGGCAGTATTTGGAACTGTGAGGCTAAAAATTTAGTGCAACTAGTAAAAATGGAAGGCTATTATACAAAGCAACACAATAGATGCAAGCTTTGCTCAGGCAGGGTATGTTATCTGTGATCATACTAGCTTCTATCCGTGGAGGGAAAATTGTAGGAATGAGCTTGCCTCCCTATCACTCAAATCTTTTTTAGAATGTAAAAAGAAAAATAATGCAAACACCAGTTTCTACTCAAAACTACTCATTCAAATACATGCTTACTAGGTTCTTTGTTCCTTGCACTAAAGCCGTCAGTAACAGGCATTGCAAGAAACGAGACTACAGACTCTGTATCTGAGCTTCCTTTTGGACCTATAACAGTACAAGCAAGTGTAAAAAGGATCATTAATCTAACAAGTTCCAGATGTCCATGTTCAAAATATTTTTAATTCTCCAGCCTAGAGAAGCAAAGAGAAAAGGGGAAAAAAATGTCCTCCTGCTCTTCAAAGCTCATTTCAGATATAAGGCTCCCACCCAAACTGAAGGAATCTCAGGTAATGACATGGTGAAGACAAAGCCTTGGGCAGAGCGTTTCAGAATCCCTTCTTTGCCATTGCAAAAAATCTATACAGCAGGAGCAGTACTGTGTGCTGTTTTTTTCCGAGACTAGCACTAGCTTCTTTCTTTAGTAAATAAAGAACATGTAATGCTGTAAACATACCTCATATAGGAGGTATGTGCTCCATTTACGGTTGTTGCACAGTTTGAGCTGAAGAGATAAAATGGAAAGGAAATCTAGATCAATGGGAAGAGCTTGACATCCCCTTTTTGTTTCTAAATGGTACGGCAATAAGGGAGGTGTTCCATGTTCAAAAGCTCCTATTTTTAGATGCTTGTCAGTCTTCCAGTTAAGCCTTCCTCAGAGCTGTATGGGAT